ATCTAATAATCTAATAAAATGTTAAACTTTCTTTCTGATATCCTAAGTACTTAACCTACAAACCCTTTTTGAGGCCCTTAATTGATTGTGATTGCTTAATGTCATTGTTCATACTGTTCCATAATTTAATGGCTCTAACAGTAAAAGTTCTACCACCCTCGGTCTGTCGATGAAAGAGGGGGCACCTAAAATTATATTTCTTAAAACGAGTATTTTCACAAACAATCAATATGGCGTCGTTCGAGTGCGGTTGTCAAATCTGAGCGAAACATGATGACTTCAAACAATTATTTGGTATGTGTTGGCACTGCTTGTCCCATACTCTTGATTTTATTTCTTACACATACGTAAGTTATTCGTTTCTATAGTTCTTATCGTTTTGCAGTTTAATGTTTCGTAGTTTTTCCTATTTGTCATACGTACTAAGTTATTTATCTATTTAATGTGTTTATTCAGTCTTTACCGTACGTTTTACGTATGTGTAAGAAATAAAATCAAGAGTATGGGACAAGCAGTGCCAACAGTATGTATTTATAAATGTGGTTGTTCAAATGAGAATAGGAATTTACCTCAAGTTGTTGGAAATCGTTTATCTTATAAAATAATGATCACTTAAACGCACTCGAGTCTTGAAGAAGCTACCAAAATGTTTTTTCGGCTATTACTTGGCAGGATTTAACTACAAAATCCACAGTCTTCTGTTGCTCCTGGGTCCTAAGCAATGTGCAGCATGTTTTAAGCCTCAGGAAAATCCTCAAATCAGTTATTAAAAGTGTCTCGTTTTAAAAAAGAAAATTTTTGATTCCGAGAAAAACGCATATTTAGATTGTTTTCAAGATGGCGGCCACGAAAGCTAAATGATTTGAATGTGTGTTGGTTTATGGAATATGGAATTGCCTAGCTAGATAACCTGTCATTAAGAGAAAAACTGACCTTGTAACAGCAACACAAAACAGTTTAACTAACCTATAAGCTAATCTAAGATACGGATTTAATTATTTGTGTCCGGACTTAATCAGCCCAATCGCCCCGCTCTTTTCGCTTCTTTCGGTGGACGAGTCATTACGATTTTTCCCGCTCTTTTCTGGGATTATTCTCTGGGATTGGTTTAAACGGTAAGCACCACAGTTATCAGGGTTTGATAATAGGGGATGAATATCCAATCACTAACTCGTTTTATTACCAAGGGAACGATGTCCATCATTGATATTAGTATTCCCGCTGGAAATGCTGGCTGTCAAAGTAATGATCCAAGATGATAGAAGATAATATAGGTAAGTTGTAGTGCTTGGGAACGAGGTTATTCCGGGCGAAAGCCCTTGGAATTAAATTCGGAAAAATTAATTTCCGACCTCGCTGGGATCCAAGATATCAGTCGGCAGCCAAGAGACCATCTTGGGAGGAGATTACAACTCAACGCAAACGCTTTCGTGTGATTTTCGACATGTTGACAGATCTACTTGCGGCACCCGAATATGGTATTGGCATCCCAAAGTCTATGTCAAGGATTGCCCAATACAGGTATTAAAAAGAAGCCATTGCACTAAAATTTCTGTATCTCTAGATATCGATATCTCTCTTGAGATGATCGCCTGATGAAATTTCAGGGGTTCATTTCCTGTTGATCGGCTGGTCACATAATTTCTATATACATAATTCCGTCCAAATACTAACTATTTGCATGTTTGTGTTTTTGTCAGTGAAGGCAAATGGTATACGACAAACGAAAATGGTGAGTTCCATCTTTATGATGGTTTTAATAATGGCGGGAGCAGTAACCTTGCCAACAAGAAAATTTCCATATTTGGTCTTGTCCTGACTTACAACGAGGCCGACGGAAGCCTCACTCTAAACAGTGCAGATTATATAGAGTCTAAAAGGTTCTTTCCTAGTCTAAGCGAACTTTTAAAGGGTAAACAGCTTGCTCGCGCTCAATGGCCAGTTCAAGAAGTTTTCCAGGAGCGTGGTGGCAGTAAAGTTCAAAACCCGATAGGACATTTACCATGTAACGTTCATTGGTCTAACGGGCTCAGGTTTGATCCAAGTGACCGTGGTGGTAAGTGCCTTCATTTCACAGCTTCTACAAAAGGTACTCTGTATGTAGTTTTCTCGGCGGTTCCCAGTAACAAGGACACTTGGTACTACGTTGAAATTGCACCATTTGGAGTTGGCATCTACAAGGTAAGGGCTAGGCAAAGAACCGATCCTTTATTAATTTACTGGTAGTAATTGATTGCTTTGTGTTTCGTTTCATCATTCCAAATGCACGCCAGATTAATAGACCTTTTTCCAAAATGACGGCCGCAAATTCAAATTAGTTAAATCAAAAACCTATCCCAGCAAAAGAAATAATACTTACATTTTTCAGATTTTATATCGGCTGAGAAAACTTTGAAAATTGACAAATCTACGGAGTTTTGTATGACTGTAAACTGGACTGAAAAAAAAAAAAAGATAAATGCATTTTCCTATCAGGGACGACGACTTAAAGTATCTACTGTCAATACCAATGCTGTAGCCTTAGGAGACGCTCTCTTGTACCAGTCATACTTTGTCTGTGTTACTGAGTCACCAACAAGTACCGTCATTGAGTATGGCAAGTCCCAGGGCACCACCGACAGTGGAGATGTCTACTTGACCATGATCGATCACGATCAGCCGCTACATGTTCGCTTTTATTCTTTTGCTAATGGCGAAGAGCAAGCGCAAGTTGTAGATTCCCATGTGGTATCTCGTAAACTGACCACCGCAGAATGTAAAGGAGATACTTACAGAGATAAGGAGGAGCCAAACTGTGTACAGAGATGTCACGAAGCTTGTGCCCCTTTAGCAGGTAAACAAAGCAACTAGAGTGTTCCTTGATTCAATAGTGATAGTAAAGTAAAAGATCATTTCGTGAGAGAAAAAATGTCTTATTGAGTATATTTTCTTTCAGGGTGCAAATCCAATTCCCAGGGAGCACCAAAAGCATCAGAATGTAACGAATGTCGTTATGCCAGGGATAGGAATAGTGTGTGCGTGGACCAGTGTCCTACAGGAGAGTCACCAAATAAGGATAAATATTGTGCTAGTAAGTTATTCATCACTATATATTTATTATACCAATGATCTATTATTCGTTTTCATCTCCATCATCAACTTTATATACAGAAGATATAACTAGCTAAAAACTAGTGTGAGCTGCGTCGGAGTTTCTAATGAAACAGTAATGATAAAAAGGTAAATTATACACCGTGAAAAGATGAAAAAACTTACTGACGTTTCGGAAGCGAGTCATTTACTCCGACGAAGGACTAGCGTTCGAAACGTCAGTAAGATTTTTCATCTTTTTCACGGTGTATAATTTACCTTTTCATCATTACAACTTTATATACACCTCTGTCTTCCATATCCTTATACTACAGCTGCAGATATTCTTTCGGTTTTGATTTTACAGCTATTTCTAAAAGGTTGGTCTACAATACAACATTTAACATGGTCTGCAACATGTAACATGCAACCGAAGAAACAAAACCTTCACCAACCTCTTTTGAAAAAGCTGCAAATCTATCTTGAACGCCTATTTTTTTAAATCCTGTTATCGCCAAAGGCGGGTATGCGATAGGTTTTTTCGAGACGGGAATGGTTTCGTCGACTACAAACAACATCTAATCAGTCTCAACACTAAGGTCCATGTTCTTCACGAGAATAAGAAGCAGAAACACAAGTCATTCCAGCTTTTCCTGGATCTTGGAATGACCTATCTCCTATAGCTTTTTGCCCATCGCCTATTACCTATCGTCTTTGGCGAAGACAACCTTCTCTTAAATAGCTATATATCTTTTTTTGTCCACAGCATCATACGATTTAAAATTCAAACCTAACACTGAAAACTCCGCCCTCGCTGGATTCCCGACTTTAAGCGAACTCACGATCTGTTTTTGGACTCGTTTCTCCAATAGTCCAAGTGGAAAATTTTTGGATATTTTGAAATATTTTAACAAAGGTGCAACAGAATCCGTGTTTGAAGTGAGTGCTCTGCGCACTACACAAGGAATACCAAGGATATTTGTCGGCGTTTATATGGTTGTCAGGTAGGTTTCATAGCTTGCGGCTTGGTTGCTAGGCTTCATAATCCTTTTGTTCAGTGTGAGCGACCATGGACCATCTAACAATCGCTAACTACCTGCAAATACTTGTCAACTAGCGCATTTGTCTTTTTATTTGCGTGCTATATTCATGGAAACCTTTTTGGGCTCACTTCGCATATCAGAAATGAAGAACCATCGAGATTTAATGGTCCACGGTCCACGCCCGCGAGTTTTCGTGGTCGCTCTATCTCTAATTCGAGTACAGGTTAATAAACTGTTCATAAGTAAACATAGTAATAAATTACTACTTATAAATTATTTATATATTCTATATATACTACTTAGATTTTTCTTCAGAAATCTTTTCAAAATTGTAATATTTAAGGTTTAATATCTTTGATAGGAGTTTGCTTTCTACTTTTCAGGGGAGATATGCGTTATCATAGTAGAACTTCAGATGTTAAAAACGACAACGGATGGCACCATTTTTGCGTGACTCGAGACAGTAACTCAGGTTCAACAAATCTTTATGGCAATGGCATCAAAGAAAACGCGGATATTTCTAACCAATTTATGATTCCAAGAGCAGTTCCCATGGCAGAAGGAAAGATGCACTTCGGGGGATTTGGCGTGAACAACTTCCCAGGAGAGATATCAGGTCTTAATATCTGGGGAAAAATTTTGTCGGAGGATGAAATTGCTAAAATAGCTCAGTCGTGTGATGGCAGTAATCCAGGGAATGTGAAAAACTGGAGTGACATCAAGAATGAATTGAACCTGAGTAAATACACTATTACATCGCCTTCCAAGTGCAAAACAAATTAATGATATTAAAATAAATGACGACTCATGATAATCTAAGATTTTTCATGACTTTGAAAACAACAGCAAAGAGCAAACGGGAGGAACACATAAAGTTAGATCTAATAGGGAATCGAAAGAAGAGAGAGAAAAAGTAGAGACTTAAAAATAGAGGGTGTTAAATATAACATTGAGTGTCGTATTTCCTTGTGTCTGTTGTCTGCGGGCAGACCCACGAGTTAACATCGTCCCCATATTCTTCCTCGATTTTACAAAGTTTTTCTTCTTTTTTACTTGTCTTTTTTTCTTCTTCTTTTCTTCTTCAAAAATGTTCATGTCAAATTCGTTATAAAACGACGGCCTTTTTGTTTGCCGCTTTTCCGCACAATCGAAATATGGAATTGATCATGCCATATATGAAGTGAGCTTTCTCTACTCCAACTTCGACACTAACATATATAGAGTAAAGCTTGATATGAGAAAGGCAAAATGGGAAGGAGAGAATAATGAAAGGAAAAAAAAAAAGGTTTTTAGCCGGAGGCAAAATATTATACGTCGCAACACCCACTAGAAGGGATATCTAGCGCCACTAAAGGATTTGGTAACCTTTTGGAGGACTATTGCAGCCACAAACCTTCATATTAATCAAATATTTTAGCTTTTTAAATGCTTAAGTCAACCTTAAATATCATTTCTTAAAATTAATCGCCTATATCACTGATTCTTAAAAAAATTGTTGCAATTTTTTTATAGATTTTTTAGGACTTTAAACTTAACTCATATTCTAGAACAGGTCTAGTCACATTCATTTGTCTTTGAAGCCATGGATAGAATACAGGTGCTGGCACAAGGTGCAACATTGCACGCAATGAATCGGGGTGACACACATTGCAACGAAATAACGCAACAACGCTTGTGTCAGCCTGCTGTGTTAAGATATTTGGTCAGCAGTTATAAATTTGGTGCAAACTGATTGGCTGGAAATTTCAAAATGTTGCAGGTAATGTCGCAGCCATGTTCACATGATGAAATTTGTTGCGCGCAATGTTACAAGAGTAGAGCGCAATTCGACTTCAGATTTGTTGCATGCAACGTTTCGTTCAGCAAATTTGGGGTAGACACACGCTGAAACAGTCCTGTTGCGTGCAATGTTGCATGCAATGTTGCACCGTGTGTCATCACCTTAAGTTATGAATACAATGCGAAACCGACCAAACCGAAAACCGTGATTTTTGTCACTGAGCCTTACGCTATTGTACAAAGAGAATATTGGACAACATCTTTCCGCCCAAAAAGATCCCAGACGCTTAAACACAGTGCTTTCCTGTTGGTTCCGAGACATTAAGACATTATTTACTAAAACAGCGATTAGTAGAGGTACACTAGTACCTCTAGAAAAAAGAACACTGTTGGGCCAGAAGCGAACCCTCGAGCGCATGTGCTATTTTGAAGAGCATTTCTCAGTGAGAGCGAGAACTTGAAACTGAAGTATTGATACGACATGTTCATACATAATATATGAACCTGTGAACTAAGGTTTCTAAGGCCCCGTCCACACGTATCCGGAAATTTTTGTATCCTCAAATTATTTTTTGCGGATACGAAAGTGTTTGCGTCCACACGCAGCGTATTCGAATCGTTTTCACCGTCCACACGTATCCGTTTTCGTAAAATTTCCGGATACGGATACAAAAATTTCCGGACACGTGTGGACGCAACCTGTATCCGCAAAAAAAAATTTGCGGATAAAAAAATTTCCGGATACGTGTGGACGGGGCCTAAACCACTAATAGCCAGTCAACACATCGTATCGGTGATTTCAACAACGCGACAAGTGAAAGGTAAGAAGATATTAAAATTAATAGGCAATGTCTGTAAAAATCAAACATAATCGAAAATCCGTGGCCACGTTGAAAAACTCGATTTTGTTCATCTTTGGTCCAAAGATGTGTGATACCACCCAAGGATGTTCATTTTGAATAATTTCACTTTTATTTTGAGAAAATCGTGAAAATTGATTTTGGCCGTCGGCGCGAGAAAGGCGCTCGCGTATAAAAATGAAGCACACTAGAGAAGATCAGTTTTTGGAATATGGTAAAGGAAATATTAATGCTTATTTTAAGCTAAAATATAAATAGGGAAACGCGTTCTAATAAGACAGGAACGTTTTAAATTTCCCCCTTACTTAGCAAAGTGCATTTTCATGTGCAACGGGTGTTCGTATTTATCTGAAATTCTAGCCATAATACCATCGAATGTCAAGCTAATTCATATACAAAATTCAGCTTGGGTTATTCAATGAGCGCCTTATACGAAACTCTCGAATTCAGAGAAATGTGGGTTGTTTGGGCTCGACATCCGACGAAACCTGTTCGAGGCAGACATAACGATATCCTTAATATATTTTCTTGGTGTTCCGTTCTGACATTTGTTTTTATATTATTATTTGTCCATTGAATATTGAGAACAATAAATTGAATTAGTTTGCTCTTTTTCGACATTAGTTTAGATTTAGGACATTTAGACTAAAAAAACACCGGGAGATCCGACCTAAAATTGCTTGATTATTGTTCATACCTAGTACTGAATTTCGGCTTCTACAGTTTTTGCTCGTCGTATACGTAGACAGTGATGCATAATTTACTTTTAATCCAAATGGTTCTTCAGCAGAGGCCGGGTGACTTTATTTTACGTACAGTTCCTTGCTGAGGTATTAGGAAATTGTCTAATTTTGGTTAAAGGATTTTTTTTAGATTCATAAATTTCATTTCGAGGAAGCCCAAGATCGATTTTAACAGCTCTTCATTATTCTTATGGGCCTCAGCGGACCTCAGCTCCAGACTTCATCATAAAAATACTAGCTGGTTCAGTAACTATAATCATGAAATGTCTTGATTCATTACCACCAGTTGATCTTCTTGTCATTTATCAGTTTTTCCAATAATAAATTATTAAATACATAAAAGTTTACCAACTCAATTCCAATGTAAATTTAGGTCATTTTTGGGGTGGGAGGAAAAACGAAAATACAAAGAGAAAAATACGTATTCGATGAGTACATGTGTCTTCTGCTGATAGATACACAGCAACATTTTTCAATCATGTATGTGTAGAATATTCACTTGCAGGTATTCATGGCTTAATATCCTGCTTACGGAGCTCAATTATCCCTTGAAAGGGCTCAAATATTGTCACTGTAACAATCTTAGTCAGTTTCACATCGCATTGGCCTGTAACAATGAAGCGACATTGTTGAAATGCTTCGTGTAGCACAAACACGCCAATTCAGTGGTCGTTTTTTGCGATAAATTCTTCCTAGATATTGCAAATACCTGAAAGCACTTTAATTAAACAGCACTTGACACATTCCATGAAACCTGTGTGCCTTAAGCTTGTTCCAAAAAACTGATAAAATTCTCTACAAAAATGGCTGCGATTACCTTGTAGAAATCACTGAATCCTACCGAATCATGGTTTGATACGTTAATCAAACGTTTCCCAGTCGATAAAAAGTCGTAAGCAGTCGCAAACAGAGCAGCCAAGTTGACCAGCCAGTACGCGGGACTTTCGGATAACATCGGCTATCCTCGCCATGCGCCGCTAGCTGTGCACGTGGGATCTGAAAGTAATCCTAAGTTTTACAACCCTTATACCGGGATGAACTTTATGTCAGTCATATCGTATGTCATATAACTATATCTTTCGCTAGTTAAACAGGATATGAAGCAAATCTGGGTAAACTCGATGGCATAGTGTCTACTGCTTATTACCGTCGTTTGCATTACTACGCGGCCACCCCAGACACAAATCGAGTCGTGTAGTTTGCAATAGACTACTGTCAGTCATTCATGTTGACGCCATTTACACACGTTTGGATCAGTGAGTTGGCTTTTCTATCAAGCTTTCTCAGTCAGATATCACGAAGGAAAGTTCCGAAAGCGATTGCAAAGAGTTTGAGTACATCCAAGTAGAATGAGATGTTTGATTGACGGCAGTCTATTGCAAACTACACGACGCGGTTTTTGTCTGGGGTGGCCGCGTAGTAATGCAAACGCCGGTAATATGCAGTGGACACAAAAACCGTTGAAGTACAAGAACCAACAAACAAATCTAGTCACACACAACGGCGAGCTCGGCACGACATCCATTGAATTTCTTAGAACAAGTCGTAATTAACGGGAATGAAAAATGACTGTTTCTTCCTATTCCGGCTTTTTTAATAATGTTAAAAATAATAATAATAATGATAATAGTGAATAAAATAATAAATAATAATAATAATAATAGATGAATGTAATTTTTGATTCTTTGTTTAACAGTCATTACATAGTGTTGTCATGGTGAAGACTCTGTTGGTAGTGGTTACCTTGGTAACGTTTCTGACGGAAAATCTATGTAAGTATCAAAACTATTGCTTTGAAGATATTTCTTATTGTTATTAAAGGAGCCTGCTCATTTTTTCGCTACATGCTTTCCAAATATGTCAATTTATACTTGGTTTTGAACGTATTTCTTATTTAGTTTCCGAAAGAAAGATGCGTAAACTTTGTTAGTTTCATGCTTTTAGTTGCACGCGCAAGAAAATGCGCAGTGCAAAGCAAGGGAATTACCTTAAGGCAATGCGATCGTCATTCGTGCGCATCTTTTCTGCGCACGCAATTTTTATTCAATTTCGAAGTTTTCAGTGATTGGGCTTCCTGTGGTAAAGCTCTTTCAATATGGCGGATAAGGCATTTCCATATTCAACGGCTATTATCTAAAAATCTTACATGGTGAACTACCCTGGTTTTTCTACTGTAAGTCCAGGTTTACTAAGGCTACAACATTGGGTTAGAGTTTGAGTAAATCGCGAAAATGTCCGAAAATTCGGATCGTAAAGCACTGTCAAAATGTACTGTTTTGGAAATTTAACCATTGAGAACTCATTCTTAAAAAACTGTAAAAAATTAGAGACTTCCAGTTTGTATAAATTGTAATATGTTAACGTATGTATCATTTGGAATTGGTATAGGAAATCTATATAGTATCTATAAATTCCGAATTGTACGAGAAGATTGTGCTTTTTTCTCATAATACACTCTGTAGAGTATAATTTGGAATTTAATTGTACTCCTCTTGTCCAATCAGAATCGAGTAATTTTGTATTATGTGTGTGTATTATATTTCATGTTATTATTTCCAAGCGATATGGACTAATTGACCTAATTTACATGATCCTATTTTCCCCGAAAACACGGCCGCAAAATTTACAAATTCGGGGTCCCTTTTTATTTCATATTTTCATACTAAAACTTATAATAAACGATTATGCCAAATTTGGTAAAAATGTTGAAAAAAAAGCTGCACGGTTGCATTACTTTTAATTAAATTTAGCATATTTACTTTTATAAACAGTTCTTGCAATATTTAAAAGCAACTATTTAGACTACGTTCCTAACTGGTACTTACTCCACTAGTACTGTTTTCTGGAAGTTGGTTAGATTGCCTGTTCCCATGGTAACTGTTTCACAGTTTGAATATGCTGGCAATAGTAATTTAAGACCCGCATTGTATATTTATATTAATTCTAATAAAGATTAAATTTAAAAGATTCGTAAGTAAATTCATTGTCAAAATACAGGTAATCAGCAACCTGGATTGAACAGCAAGCACCAGGTCCGTCAAAATGGCGCTGAACATCTTTACAACTATCCGGCTTTGAAAAACCATAACGATCGATCTGTTCCTCGCGTCAGCAATAATGTGCCAAACAACCAAATTTATTGGAACAACTTTTTGAACAAGGTTTCTTTATCAGATGGAGGTAACCGAAAGGACAAGAATCAATTTGCTAATATCAACCCCAATGAGACAAAACGCGAAAACGACAGTTTGAAGTTGCCAAAACAACAGAGAAAAAATCTTCTTGCAAAAGGTATAAACGGTCAGACAAGTGACACTTGTGGTGTATTTCTTGAATATTAATTTACATATTTTGTTTCCATCTCTAGTCATCAAGAAGACTTCTATCAATCCAGAAGCAAACCCAGCTAATGACGATGTGACGGCATCGAAAAGGGTGGCTCCTGTTGTAACGGGCGCATTAACAAAGTTGGCGGGAAACGAGAAGGTCCAAGAAGCCGTAGTCGATAAAGGAATCGAAGTAGCGGGAAAACTGGTTGACAAATACTTTGAAAATATTGACGAAGCTCAAAAAAAATCCTCAGAATTTCTTAAGAAACAAGTAAGTGGCCCATTGGCATTGAATTGAATACAATTCTTAAAATAATCAATTCTTTTATGAAAAAAAACATATATATATATAATTTGTAATGCTTGCATGGCTCCATCCTATGATTAAGGTAATGTGGGCGTGCACTCTTCATGCGTCACTTCTGCGCACACGCTTTTTGTCAGTTTTATTTGTTAGAAATTTCTGTGGTAAACCCATTCCAATATGGCGTCTGAGACTTCAAAAACAGGTTTCAGTTCTAGTTAAACTAGTTTTCTAGTTTTGTTGAACAATCCCTGAAGGAGTAAGCTAAGGGGGGATTGATTAAGACTTTCATGTATAGTTGCAGGAAACATTCCTTGTTATTTCTGCGCATGTGTAAATAAACCAATATTTTTTATCATACACAGATTAAACTTGATATAATGCCAGACAAAGGATGGGAAACTGAAGATATGTTTGTTCCTCCTGGATACCACATCAATGCCGAAGTTGAAGGTTCAGAACCATCAACCGGTGCTGATGACACGGTACAACCCTATAACTACCCGGCAGGCATTGGGGGTGTATTAATGAATGGTTGCTGGGGAACTGATTATAAAGAGGGAGACCCGTGTTATAATGCGATGGAAAAAACTGAGCAGTGCAGAGTGAGTAAACATTTCACTTCAAAATTTTATGTCAAAATATTTTTGTTCCTTACCTTAATTGGACTTGTTCTTTTTCAGGATATGATTGATGGTGCTGCATTTATTGGTGTTGGTTTTGATGGTCGTGGTCAATACAGCCCTGAGTCCAGGAAGATGAGTATTATCCAGAGAAGCTGTGGTGGACATTCATCGTAAGTGCTGAAATGAAAGGTCCAAAGACGATTGATTTATTGAAATTAACTAACAGGATATTACGCTGCCTCCAGATATGATAATCTTCAAGTGCCAGACACGATGAACGTTCACGGAATCTACGATACTAGTGCACACATGACCGTATTTACGTCACGATCTGAGTATCAAAAGTATTTACAAAATGAAGCAGGAGTGTCAGGGTCCGTCTTGGGGTTCTACGCTGGTGTCAAGACTGCGTGGGGAAGCTCCGAAAGCGGCGCAAAACAAACCAATCTTGCCATCTTTGATATCGATGTGGACAGGTAGGAGAAACATTTTCAAGTATCCATTTTGAGCCTCGCGTAAGTTATTTGTTGATCTATCTGTTCTTTTTATCCCTTTATGCCTAAAAGGTTTCTCTCTTAAATCTTTGTGCTAAATGAACACCCTTTCTTCACCCATTCTTTGTTTTATATCATTGATGAACTGGAAATGTTTGAGTATGCTAATTATCTTGTTAGTTTAGCTAAAAAAGGAAGTTAAAATTAATTCTTTGAGAAAACGTAATTGCTGTACGTTGCCTTTGTTGAAAGAAAACCACTTTTGAATTCGGTCAATGACCATCATTGGTGCTAATTTTGTTGTCGCTTTTCTAGATACGAGATTTTTCAAGATGAAGTCAAGCCACAGGATCTGAGCAGAAGTTTCTTAAGAGAATTTATTAACCTTCCAAACTCCTATTTTGAACCTGGAGCACCAGCTAAATTCCGTGAGATACATTTCAATCCTTTCAAAAAGATATTTTGGCCTAGAGTTGTAAGGTTCATTTTGTGTCAGGGTTGCATTATATGCCTATCGCATGACAATCATTTCTTTGAACGCTATTCTTGGGGTGCATGTTACGTCATGGTCGCCATCTTGGTTAACGATAACAAATTGTTCCTCATAAGCTTCTCTTGTTAAATCAACCAACAATGCGACTGTTTCATTGTTACTTATATCTCAAGGGATTTTGAGTCATGTGGTTGCGTCCCAAGAATTATGATATGTGTACATAAATTGATATGGAACATGTTCTTTTTTAAACAAGAGAATTACATGTGTTCTGAACATAAGAAAACATAATGCTAATTAAGAGTAGAGGGGACTGCTTTTTGGAGGTTGATGAGATGACAAAACTATTCACCCTTAAAGGCCTCCTATTGGCAACATGTAAGCTACGCCGCTGGCAAACAGTTGTCCTATGTTAGAACAATACGATATAGAAATGGCGTCTTTGCAGAAAATGAATCCTAAAACTGACTTCTTTCTCTTGTTTTATCAGAGGACTTCATTCTTCGGTGGGGAACTCACTACACCAAGTCTGCCAGATTTGGTGGTCAGCTGGAACTACGGAAGACACAATTGGCAAGCATGACCGCCAGCAAAGAAGAATTTGCCGAAGAGAGTGAGACTGAATTCAAAAGTCTGTTTTGGAGTGCAGGAGCAAAATCAAGCACCAAATCTGGCAGCTCGTCTAAATCGCAACGAAACTACATGTCTACATCTGTAGTTGTGCAAGGAGGAAGTCAGAGAATAGCAGCGGTGATTTCTGATATGTATTCACCTACATTCAAGACTGAATTCACAGTAAGTAAAATAAGTTTTTTTAATTGAAAAGATGCCGCGATAAGTGCCGCCCTATCACGATGTCATTCAAGCCACGGTGTAGTAGAATCAGCATCTACATAATATGGCTCATGAATGCAATGTTTTAAAACTTCGAGTCTTATTCACTTGGTAATTATTTATTTTAGGCTTGGCTTGAAAGCATCCCTGCCTACCCCAAGGCCTTCAAGTTCCTTATGGGATCTGTCACTGATCTGTTGAATTTCCGTGGCAATGATTTGTTTCCTGACGAAACCATCGTATGGGGATGCGAAATCAATAAAGACAAACTAATTAATGACGAAAAGTCTGGCAAGAGCTACTACATGAATCAAAATAAAAGAGTTTACTGTGAGTTCTCGAGTCGAGAGGAGATGGAATACAGTTTAAAACGCAAACGCGTGAGTCTGAAAAGAGCGATTGAAGTCTACATGGAAGAGGTTAGTAAAGAACGTTCAAAATGATATACCTATTTCAAAAAAAGTTATAGCCAATATATGTTAGGCAAAAAGCAATGAAATAGGTCATTCCAAGATTCAAGAATAGCTGGAATGACTCGTGTTTCTGCTTGTTATTCTCGTCAAGAACATGGACCTTGGTTCTAGTCGACGAAACCATTCCTGTGTCGGAATGACCTATCGCCTGTCGCCTTTTGCGATGACAACGTTTTTTGAAATTGGTGCATTTCAATAGACTTAAATAACTGTTCATCAAGTACTTTTTTGACGTTACTTTATGACCTTCATAATACAGACCTACTTCCTACCTATCAATGACTAATGATAAGAAACATGGGTGAGGTTTGGTGGAATTTAGGGTGGGACAACAAAAGAAAAATAAAAGTCTGAAGGAAGAGTCGTTGGAATTTTTCGGCAATTCAATATTTCTGAGGTAGTTTTAACAGCAAACCAATACAAAAAAAGCTACAAAGAAACAATTTAAAGAATAATTTCAACCGGCTCTTTGCATCTTTTCATTCTAGGGCACCATGTCCATATCTGATGTCAGTCTGCCCGCTGGAGAAGCCGGGTGCCAAAGTAGAAACCCTGAATATCAATCAGAAACCACGAAGCCTTCCTGGGACGAGATGACAAAAAAACACAAACGCTTTCATGTAATTTTTGACATGCTGAAAGACCTCAGAGGGGCTATTCATGGTGGCATAGATATCCCAAAGTCCATGTCAAGAATCGTTCAATTCAGGTAAAAGTAAAGCTGAGCACTAATATTCTTTGAAAGCAATGATGATCAGTAAAAGATTGAAAGATTTGCAAATATTTTAGGGCAGATTAGTGCCTCTTCTAGAATATTTTTCAGACTATGAATCCTTGTCGGCAGCGGGAATTGAAACCTGCCGTACACAAAGCCAATCGGGTGTCCGGGTATATCCCGTTTGCCAAAGTAACTTAACACCGGTGTTCATGTTGTTAGATGGGAGTCCTTTACTAAATATAGACGTCCATCTTGATACAGTGTTTCACATTCCGTAACTTGGCTTCTAAATTCCACAACTTTGATATCAGATTCCATATCTTGAATTAAAGATCCGAGAGCCAAATGTTGCCGCATTTTAAGGAAAGAACGGCTCAATAGTTTATTGACTAATATCGCCGATATTTCTCTTAACTGATCGTTTGATCTATAATTAATTTCATCAGTCAAGGAAAATGGTATACAACAAATGAAAATGGAGAGTTTCATATTTATGATGGTTTTAACAATGGTGGAAGCGGTGACAAAACAAATAAGAAAATCTCCATATTTGGTCTCGTTCTGCAGTATGACGAAAGCGAAGGTAGTCTTGCTCTAAACCAAGCAGATTATGCAGTATCTCAAAGGTATTTTCCAGAACTTAGTGAAATTTTGAAGGGAAGACAGCTCGCAAGGGTCGAGTGGCCAACAGCTAATTCTTTCACGAAAAGTAATCAACGTGCTTTAGGGCAGTTACCGTGTAATCTCCAGTGGTCCAACGGGCTCAGGTTTGACCCAAGTGACCGTAATGGCAAATGCCTTCATTTCACAGCTTCTACCAAAGGTGCTCTGTATGTAGTTTTCTCGGCAGTTCCCAGTAACAAAGACGCCTGGTACTACGTCGAGATATCACCATTTGGAGTTGCCATCTACAAGGTAAGTTTTTCAAGTGAAGAGTGAAGAATGAATGGAATGACAAGTTATCCAACCCAGTAAAGAACAGAGAAAGCAATGGTATTTTTATAAATTATCAAATTATGTACCAAAAGATAATGTATTGTAGAAATAATCCGAAATGTCGACTTTGACAAAATCAAAATAGGCAAAACACCTCAAAAGTCCACGTATATTTTAGATTGGAAACGATGCTCTGCGCATACAAAATATTCATCAATAAGAAAGGATGATATGCTTTAACCTTAAATTTTCACTTTTTTAGTCACAACGACTTAAAGTATCTACTGTCAATACCAATGCTGTAGCCCTAGGAGACGCCCTCTTGTACCAGTCATACTTTGTCTGTGTTACTGAGTCACCAACAAGTACCGTCATTGAGTATGGCAAGTCCCAGGGCACCACCGACAGTGGAGATGTCTACTTGACCATGATCGATCACGATCAGCCGCTACATGTTCGCTTTTATTCCTTTGCTAATGGAGAAGAATCAGCACAAATAGTAGACTCTCATGTTGTATCTCGTAAGCTAACCGCCGCAGACTGTAAAGGAGATACGTACAGAGATAAGGAGGAGCCAAACTGTGTACAGAGATGTCACGAAGCTTGTGCCCCTTTAGCAGGTTAGGAAAATGTTTGAATCATAAGACCGTCATATCGATCGTCGTTCGATCATAAGATAATTGCAACGTGTCCACTTTGCAACATAAGTCTGTGTTGTTCCGGATTGGAATTGTATTGAACCAAGCGAGGATTACTGGAAAAAAAGAACAGAAGAAAAGAAGGAGGGAATGAGAAAGGAGAAATAATTAATTCATGAAAGTTGAAACGAAGGAAAAAAGGAAAAAGATGAATAATAAAAAAGAGGGAGGAGATAAAGAAGGGGAAAATGTAATTAAAATTCATCCAAAAAACAACAACTATAAAAACAATGAAAGAAGGAGATGAAGCGCCTAAAAAGTTATATATTTCAGGATGCAAGTCTCATTCGCAAGGTAACCCAAAAGCGTCTGAATGTAATGAATGTCGCTACGCAAAAGATCAGAGTGATGTCTGTATTACCGAGTGTCCTGCTGGACAAAAGCCAAATAAACAAAAAAACTGCATGGGTAAGTCTTGAGGTTTATGAAGAAGATTTTCTATCACATGATATTTAATATATAGTTTTGGTATTTCGACAGAGTCTTTCGATTTGAAATTCAAGCAGGATACAGGATTTGAAGATTCCGACATAACTGGCTTTCCAACCCTAAACGAGATGGCCATCTGCTTTTGGATTAACTCCCAAGGCGCAGAGGACAATCATTATGTTGTTTTGAATTACGTAAACAAGGGTGAAGCTCACACCTTGTTCCAAATCAATGCTGTTGTAAAGCGCGACGTGAAAATAAGTTATTATATTGGTGAAAAAGGGTATAGTATAAAATCATTTATAACAAAACGTATTATTATACATTTTACTCTTTATCCCGCTTCTGATTGACCGAGAGCCCTCATCCAATCCCTGATGTCGCGTGAACTCGACATGATAAATGTTTTAGGTATAATTTGTCTGCAGATATTACATTTATCATGATAAATTCACTCAAGGTTATAGCAGAGATTGAAATACGTTTCTATTTCTTTGAAAGCAGATTTACTGAAACCTCTTTTTCTTTAGTTTCCAAAATGTATAATATAATGATTAAAACAGTAGGAACTCGTGGATAAATTGGATCACCGTTACTCCGACGAAGGACTAACGTCCGAAACGTCAATCAATCAATCAATCAATAAACTTTATTTAAAGAGGGTAAACACGTAACAGTACTAAAAACCGACAAACCTGTGGCCCTCTATAAAAGAAAATCAATATCTAACACTCTCTCTCACACACACACACTCTTACTCTAACTCACTCTCTATATATTAAATATTTATTTACATATATATATATATATA